TTATTTCTCATCTCCGTTGCAAAGTATGTAATTCAACTCACAGTGTCAAGATCAGCGAGGTTCTCATCCACTTCTGCGTAGCTCAGGATGGTGTAACCTTTACACACTCTCCACAACATGCGCTCAAAGGCCTCGACCTTCACCCGCTGGATAAGACCTGAAACAAACCTACAGCCAGGAGAGATTAAATCAGATTAAGTTTAGGGGTCATTTCTTAATGATAATGGAACTGTACACATTATGACATCCTGCAGCTCACCCCAGCTTGGCTCCAAGTCTTTGCATACCGGTGCATCCTGTCACCGAGTCTGTCTCCATAGTAGGGAATTCTTCATACTGGGGACCAAGAGCCTCATGCTAATTATAAAAAGGAACATGTTTCATTCATGACAGCGCACAGTAACAGCTCCTCACATGGTTCTACTCAAAGCCGATGCAATGTTCACACACTGAAATGAGATGTTTCTTCTTCTTTTTTTATAAGAGGGCAGGCAGGATGAATCAGGTGCTGCTTGTAGCAGCTGCAGTGTGACCGTGTCATTAATTAAAGTCAGCACTACTTCCACCTCTGTCACCCAGGGAAACAAGACACGACAGCAACAAGAAAACAAGACGTTGTTGGTGAGGTGAGGGGAAACATCTTCACTGAGATGCAAACAGAGTGGGACGTGGACAAAAAAGCAGTACATGACATGGGGTTGGTGCGTGTGATAAATGAGCAGCCGGGTAGAAATACACTCACTCTGGAGCGGCTGTGTATGAAGGTCCGCGTGATCTTCAGCATGTGTGTGTACTCGGTGAGCTCCAGGAGGTTCCTCCGCAGCTTCTCTTTGTTCCTCGCCACCTCGCTGAGCTCCATCTCCAGCCTCTGGAGCTGCTCCTGAACATCGCAGGATAAGATAACTTAACTTAAGATAACTAAAAGCAAAACTATCTAACTTCTGGTTAGCAGCGGCCACTGTGGCTACAACTGACAATTATAGGATAATGTAAAATGCTGACCATTTAGCTAAAAGGCTACGGTGTTATAACATTAGCACAAGTGGGAAACAGTAATAAAATCAGCCAAATGACTCAATAATATTCACTATACAGTAATATTTAGCTAGGTTTGCTTGCATTTGCTAAAATTAGCAACCAAAAGCTACTGGTCATACCAAACCAAGTAAAACTGTGGCGGCAAAACTGTACTGGATTTGAGCAGCTATGAAATTTATGGCTTATGAATTCAACTTTTGATTTGCAAAGTAGTCTTGCTTTATAATATCATGTATGTATATATATATATACATACATGATATTATAAAGCATATACATATATATTTATATACACTGTTGCCCATAAAGTTGGAATAATTTTGTTTTCAGACACAATCCTCTGTTTATTTGTATGTAAATGCATCAGTAATCACTTTTGACCAGGTGCAATGATTACATTATGTGTCCCAATTACCCAGGTGAAATGAAATAAATCACATTGTCACAAGCATTTCATGGAAAGAGGTAAAAAATATTTTATTCCAACTTTATGAGCAACAGTGTAGATAGACAGATAGATAGATAGATAGATAGATTGATAGATAGATAGATAGATAGATAGATAGATAGATGATCACTAAGGAGAACACAATCAGTGCATCCCCATTATGATTGGGTTTTGGGAGCATCCTGCCTATATGCTGTAGGTGTGATGTAATGACCGACTACGCGCTGAAACGAAAGTAAAAGTCTGACGTCAGTAGTGCAGAGGATCAATTTTATTGTCTCTTTCATCTTCCATTACTGATGATTACATGGAGAAGCTAAATCCAGCAGAGTGGTAAATGCAGCAGAGACAGGCAGCCAAAAACTAAACTGGGCTCTCAGCTGCTGAAGTGACTCAGTCGCTACAGAAATCACAGACATACAATCTCATAATCCCACTGTTCTGCCGGCGGTACAGGTGGTGCCAACTTATGCTGTGTAGCCAAAGTTTGTTCAGTCCCGCAGAACTTTATATCAAATTCAAGTGGAGATCACAAGGTTTCTAAAGTTACCAAATTTACCAAATATGTCTGGGTGAATTTGGGGAAATTGTGTATAAAATGACACATAAGACATCTAGAATATTTCCATTTGAAGGACTGGAACAGTGTATATGTATGAAATGGTTAGACAATGGGGAATAATATGATTTTTCCAACCATAAAACCACTTGAAGAGAAAATGAAAGGAAACTGGCAGTGAACAGGAGTCAAAGATGCGTGCACTGTGGCATACAATGTATAAAATTAGAATCTTGTAGTGATATAAATAGCCAGGCTTTTCTATGTTCCAGATTAATGCTATATCCAAACATGATCTAGATCAGGACACTAGTGTGTATGTAAATAACCTCAATTATACACTATGAAAAGTTGGCACTTTGATAGTAAAATCAGGTTCAAATGAAACTTACCATGATCTCCAGGACTTGTCTTGGGGGAGGAGCAAGTGGACTCTCATCCTCCTCTGGAACAGCTATATGAGCCTTTTGGATCTCCCTCAGAAGGAAGCCTACCAACAAAAAATGCTGATGGTTTGTTTCATGGTAATTAACACTTAAGTGTCAGACCTAGCTGTGAAATCTTCACCTCTGAGGGACCGTTTTACAAAACACAATCAGCCACAAGCCGTTCGCTACCCTGATGATTAATTGTCTGGGAGTATGTTCAGGCTACTCCCATGTGAACCATCCCAGGTGCACTGCTCTCTTACCCAGAATTCTCTCCATCTCCTCACATCTCTTGATTTCGCTGACGAAGCGTCGCTGGAATGAGCTGACACTTGGATTAAGCTGAAACCAGAGGAGCATCACAGGTCAGGTGGCTGCAAGTTACTGCATCAGTCAACGCATACACAACAACAGGATCCATCATTGTTAAATAATCTGACACCGGTTGTAATATTGTTAAAAGTTGTTTATTATAGTTTAGATATTGTTAAACATTTTAACAAGTGCAATAGGGAGTATTCTGACATTAAACCATGATATATTATCAGTGTATATTTTCAAAGTACTGTGGAGAAAATTGATATGAAAACTCAGATAGATAGATAGATAGATAGATAGATAGATAGATAGAGAGATAGATAGATAGATAGATAGATAGAACTGGAGTGCACAAGATCAATTAGGCCTATCTATACTCAAACATCTTAGCATAATCAGAAGGAAAATGAGAGGTGGGTATAAACAATTTATTCCGTCTTTGTTAGATAAGAGAATACAAATATTGAAGAACAAAGACGTTCAACCTGGTGGTGGAGTTGACACATTTAGAGAAATGAGTGTGTGCATCATCAGCCTCTCTACTTACATCTCGGAACTCGACCAGCCCCAGCTCTCCGAGCTCACTAATGCAGTCATATTCAGAGCCGGACTGCAGAAACAATTGCGCCAAGCACATCTCCTCACTCCGAAACACCATCTTTATCTGCCTTGTAATCTGCCTGTAGCCTACAGAACCTGGACGACGAGCCGTTCACTACAAACGAAAATAGGACATCACAATATTCAACGAGTCGCTACGTCGCTTTAAACCTCTTAACCAATTAACCTCCCCGCGAGGATTAATTACTGTCCATTAATATTGACGATTTTCAGAAGAAGGGAGAACATCCTCCATCCTGTGTCTGGTCGTCGCGCCGTGTCTTTTCTACCTCTCCACAGCCGCCTGATGTCTATTGAATAAACAATATGAAAACAAAGGCAGAAACCTCCCTAATGCACCTTTCGCATCGAGCGATCGCAGCGCCAGGCGTCATCGTGTGGGCTCTTTACCTTGAACACCTGTCATTACAGCGCGAAAACACGGCGACGACGCGACGCTGGCCGGACACAAACGAGCAACAGGCGGACTAAAGGATAAATCATCAACCCGCCATGTAGACAAAAGGGGCTAACGGCAGCCTCACACGTTAAAAAAAGCCACAGTCAGAAATAGGCTACGGCCTTTATTCGAGCTACGTCGGCCGGCAATTGACACAGATTGCGTCTCCGGGTTGCCAGATATTGTCGCATCCTCTGAAATAATCGTTTTTTCCTTGATCCACAAGAGGAGAGGTGTTGCTGTATAGGAGACACAGGTTTGATTTGATGGCAAACAGCTATACAGGGGCTAACTAAATAATAGAGCTAATATCTCACCACAGATGTAGTTTGACTGACTTTGCACTGTGTCGACTCTTAACCGGCTTTTCAACTCCTTGCTATGTCAACACCAGTTATTTGATGTATTTGAGTCTAAATTTGTTTAACACAATGAAGCGCATTAAATGTTTCTGCAGCTCAAACAAAAGGCTTTCTGAGACGAAGGCACTGTAGTCACAGTATCAACAATAAAAAAAATGAATTAAAATAATACGTAAATGAGTTTTTATAATCCAAAGTGAAATACTTTAGGTATATAAGGTATATTTATCTCGAAAACTGAAATCTAGACCATCAGTCTGTATTATAATTTTGTCAATAAAGTTACTGTTACTATTTTGTTTTCATTTTATGTGGTAAACTTAATGAAATAGACATGCTTTCAGTTTTCTCTTTATGGAACAAAGTTAGCCACAGTATATAATTTGGTTGAATACCCGTCCGTTGTCTCACTTTAAATTATGCTCCACAGTGGCAACACTGTTTTTGCAACAAAAAAAGAGAAAAAAGGGGGTTATCTCAGAACCTGGCAACCAACGCATCTTCTTATTCTGTTCCATCACTGAAAGCAGACCGACCGTCTGCCTTTCTTTGTACGAGTAATCCTTTATTTCATGTGTTTTAGTGTGTTGGTGTTGATAATTTTGGTAGTTTTACAAAAAATTCTGTTGAAAAAAATAATTACTGCGTGTTTGAATAAACCCGCAGATCACGTGAACGAGTATCCATTTGATGAAACGGACTACACGCAGTTAAACGCAAGAGTAAAAATACTGGTAGTAGGCCCACATGACTCGACACAAATTACTCAGGGTTAGAGAAATCTGGATGATGTTAATTAATTAATTTATTTTTTAAATCAGCTATTACACAAAAGCATGTTCATAGTCCTTTTTCAATCCAAGATCAAAACCACTCTCTGGGTACCATCTAATGCTGTCTTAATTCTGCAAGTGATGATGAACACTGACATGTGGACAGGAGGAGCTGGGGATCAAACCACTATGACCACTGGCTTATCCACTCTATCACCTCAGCTACAAAAAAATATGTATAAATTAATAAAGCTATGGCAAGTGCAGCAGACAAATTGTTGGGGAAAATGCATGAAATCCATGGTACATTTATGCATAAATTTGAGTATAGTACAGTTTTAGACACACACATTTCCAGAAAAGCATGTAAAATTAAGTTTAAATAAAATGTTATTTTAAGCCCTGAGACTCTGAGCTAGTCTGTTGAGCTCCTGTGACAGAGCTGTGACTGTATCCAGGATCCTCTGTTTGTCCTTCTCCTCTAAACGAGCTTCACATCTCTGAGCAAATTTGTCAGGATGCCACAGCGCTTGCTGCTTCCGGAGCATTTTACGAAACACTGGCACGTCTTTTCGGTCCACACCGTGCAACATCACATCCACCATCTCCTGCACTGTTCCCCTTGGAGCTGGCCAGGGGATGTCACTGTAGCTCAGCTTTGTGCTGCCAGCTGACGAGCCGCCACGGAAAGTAGCTTCACACTTCTCATCGTACCTGCGCTTCTTGCCCTGCCGAGTCTCTTCCTCTTTACGTGCTGCTCGAGCCAGATACTCTTCATGTTCCCTCTGAAGCTTTTCATGCAGCTCCTTGCGGCTTTGCTCTTCCTGCTCTCTCTCTTGTTTACTCTTCTTCCTTTTCCATCCAGAAGATGATGCTGCTAGTCTTTGAGCTTCGGCATGCTTTTTGTCGAAATATTCTTTCCTAATACGATCAGCCCAGTCCCCAAAATCTTCATCATCGTCATCAACAGGAAGAAAATCATCAGCTGTGAAACAAATACAGCAGCAATGTCATCATCAAGTGGAGAAAATCGAATTAAAGTTCAGCATCAAAGAATGAGTTAAGAATTTACCATCATATACTCCAAAAGTTTCACAGAATTCATCCTCGCATTCACCAAACAGCTTCTCCAGCCACTCCTTCTCAGGGTCTGTTTTAGGTGGACGACTCATGTTTTCAGCACTCTGTGAAGAACACAAGTAAAGGATTCCCAGCATTTCTCATTTAATTATTTGCTGCATTTCTGTTTTATATGTAAACTGATATGATTTTTTGGACAAAAAAAAGAAGACATTTGAAGATATTACCTTGGAGTCTGGGAAACAGTTATGGACACGTCACACAATTATCTTACATTTTATTGACCAAATAATTCATCAATTGGTCAACAACAAATACAGCAACAACAAACCAATTGGCAGATTAATCTGCAATGAAAATAATCATTAGTTGCAGTCCTGTCTTAAAATACTGTGGTATACTTACTGGTACGCAGTTAAAGTAAAGTACGTGTGATAAGAATTAAAAAAGAACAATACATTATAAATCAATTGAATGATCAAATATAACTTGGTCTGGGTTACACTCACTGCGTCTTTATGTGTGTGTGTGTGTGTGTGTGGGGGGTGTGTGTGTGTGTGTGTTTCTTCAGATATGGTCTCAAATGCTGCTTTGATAAAGTTACAGGTTTGATCAGTTATACCACCAAGAATCTGACAAAGGGAACCCATCAGGGTGGCCAGTAAAAAACTGTGATATAAATATGTCCTGAGCAGGATGTTTACCAGTTGAAAAATGAACTTGTGAGTACAGGACAAAAATTGTGTGATGCATTACCTTTAACATGCAGCATCATTTGCATTTCTGTTCTGCATAGTCCCTTTACTTCATGGCTTAAATACATGCCACTACCAGAATCTGTGTTAACCTAATGATCAGCAGATTTGTTTTGTCGATGAAATGTTGAAAATTACGATGAAAAATAAACAACAATTGCACTTTACCAAAGCATAAGTTGGTGCCTTCAAATTCCCTTGTTTTACATGAGCAACAGTTGAAAACCCAAATATATTCAGTTTACTATCACATATGACAAAGAAAAGCAGCAAATACAAACACTCAAATCAAGAAACTGAAATTTAAGGATGTTTGGCATTTCTGCTTGTCAGAAAAGATTAATATATTATAAAAATAGTTGCTGATCAATTTTCTGTTGGTCGACTTTACAAGACTAATTGTCTTGGCTGTAGTATCAGCCATACTGATACTTAATGTGGCCTGTGGTTACTCACTGCTATAAAGTTGTTATCCTGCTGACTGAGTGAAAATGCAAAAACACTTGCTTGTTTCAGTCTCTTCAGTGTGATTATGTGTTGCCTCTGTCTGTTTTAAATCACTGTAAACTGAAAACTGAATGACTTTGGGTTTGGGAGTTCTATTTAGACAAAAAAAAGCTCTACAGTTTATTGTAACAGCTTCAAACTACCTCTGTATGTTTCATCCACTTCAGCAGGTCCTCAGGTGTGACTCCAGCACTGTTAGTAGCGTTCATAGCCTCTGGACAGCTCTTCTTCAGGGGCACAACCAGGTCATCATACGCTGAAAGAAAACAAAAAATACGTTAAAAACATATACCGGTTAATAATTACACACGCAGTACACACAATAATAACACACCAGCTTCTTTTCTGGTCCTTCTCACCTGTCTTCCCGTGTTTGAGAGCCCTGTTGACTGCTGTGTGTAGCGCTGTGTCTCCTTTATGGTCCCTCTGGAGAACATCGGCCCCGTGCTTCAGCAGCAGCCGCAGGACGGCGTCGTCTCCCAGGCAGCAGGCCAGGTGCAGCGGGCTCCTCTGCCTCTTGCCCTGGGAGAAGTTCACATCCAGGTCCCGGTGCTTCCTCAGGTACGACTTCAGCTTCAACAAACTGCCGTCCTCAACGTACCTCCACACCCGCTTCTGTTTGTTAGACACCATGCTTAGTACAGACTGAGCAGGCGGTTTATTTTTTATAGTTATGTTTATGGTCTGGTTATAATAGCTTTGAAATGCCTTCGAGCTTTGCATTAGCAAGAATGCTCTGGCATAAGCTAATTCGGACCGTCTTCTAAATAAGTCCGAAGCTAGCCACGGCGCGAACACTAAAGTTCCGGGGACAGAATGGTTCCGGTACTGTCACTAGGTGTCAGTATTCAACAGGCCACCTTACAGCAAGAGGTCATCATGGATGTATTATAAGACCATCCACGGAGGTCATCTGTCTCAAATTTACTCAAAGTTATTTTATATCTCATATATTTATTTTGAAGTTCTATTTCATAACATTTGTTTATGAACTTCTTAATGATTTATTATGACTCAGCCTGTGGCAGCTTAGCAAAACAACATCTGCCTGATAGCTGCTTGAAAATGTCTTTTTGCACTTTTGAAATTAAACATAATATATTTATAAAAAAAAATCGAACAAGGAAGCTAGCAACGGCTGGGACACAAATGTACCGGGGACAGGGTGTTTACAGTGTTATCACTAGGTGTCAGTATTGACCTGTTTATAAATCTGACATTAATTGATAAAGTAATTGATAAAGTAAACCTGTGTTCCATGACACTGTAATTGACTCAGAGCACATTGTTGTTGAACAGGTTGCTATAAAATGTAACTGGAACTCCATTCTTCTTTTAATGATAGGAAAACAAACCTCCACTATTAATCCTATGAACTCTGGCTTACAAGAGTTTGGCATTACAGTGATGTTTTTCATACTTGAAGGACTGTGTTGTCACCTTCTAAATGGCTAATTGCTCAGTATTTATAAGCCATTCCTGTTCTCTGTGGGTTTCTGTGCCTCGGCCTCCTTTCAGCATGCCACTGGTTCGGCAGATGTCATTAGAAGTCATCTTTGTACTTCCAATTCTTCCAATAGAACTTTCTTTTTTTCTCATTCATAATGTTTCTCTATGAACTTTATGTGTTATGACAATGTATTTGACTTTGATTAAACCTATACCCCATTGTCAACCATTTTCTATTTTGAAACAAGGGCATTTATACAATTCCCTACACTGACTTCTATTTCTATTTTGTAACTTTTTTTTTCAGCTTCCACAATTGAAAATGAGAAATTTAGATTTTTTGATGAAACCTGCATGCCTAAAACCCCCTGAGTCAGTTGTGACTTTGAAAAAAATGATTGCAGATGCACAGGTTGACTTTTAGTGATCCTGAAACTTGCTGCAGAATTGAACATTTCCCTCCACAAAGCTTACTGTTACTCTGCTTGGATGTTTGAGGATGATGTATGCCCAGGGTTTGCATTATAAAGTTGTTTTCACATTCATCTGCTGAAGAGGAAACATTTCTCAGAGCTCGCCTTAAACCTGAGTTTAGGATGTAGACATAAGAATATGATTTGGTGACAGCAAAAGAATTTTGGGTCTAATCATGGTCCAATTTTGCAACTGACACAAGTCTGACGTGGAAACCTGAAACCTCAGTGATACAAATAGATACAATTTATTATTTAAACCACATTTATATGACTTAAAACATATTTGGAGGGGATCTTTAGGAAATTAAGGTTACCATTTTCATGTGGGCCATGCTGGGTTATTTGCACCACCATCCTCAGAACAAACACATCATCATGATACGTACACGATTAAATGAACTGGCCTACAACAAAGCATGCAGGGGCTGAACAATATAAAATGATCAGTCCAGAATCAGAGTAAAGTTATTTCATCTCATATGCAGATTCTTGAAGAACCTAAGTGCAAACAATACTTAAAATTCCAGTCTTGATTTGAACAGTTGCTCACAGTTTACCACACACACACACACAATCTGTGTGTGGCAGCTGCTTGTTGTGACAGAGTCCTTCAATATGTGGCTGCAAAAACAGAGGACAGTTGGTACAGGATACAGCGAGATACAATTTGGACCTTATCTGCATCCCGGTTACTAGGTCAGTGCAAACTGTACCACACAGCTTCTCTAGGTGAAGTTCTTACATACAGTCATTTCTTGTTAGCACATGCGCTCTCTACCTGTGATGCCTACATCAGTGCAGCTGAGCGTCTGAACTGGCTCGGTCCTGCTGCAGATGACAGTGCATCCATTTAGGCCTGAGAGAGGGAAGGATGCACAACAGAGAGGATAGAAGAGGGAATGAAGGGGAGCTTTGTGCACTGTGAAGAGGATGATCAACTCCGAGCCTCACAAATACCGAGATCCGGAGTCACCCAAAGCTTGGCCACTTCCGCTCTTTTTTGCTGTCGGAAACGACGTGTCTCCACTAACGATGGCTGTCTTCTGTGAACGCCTTTGAAATTTCGGCCATCTCAGGAGTGACAGAGAAAGAGTGAGAACAGAGGGTGACGGAGGGAAAGAGAGAGAGAGACATCTGATTTGTCACCTCAGGTGTTTGAGTCACATGTCTGCCACTTTTTTTTTTGTCACACACTCTCGGGGATGATAACACACCATTTGGGTGTTTCCTCACATCCCCAATGCAGGAGAAGCAAGTACCCTTGTCCTCCAAGACCTCAGGTGGAGAAAGCATCTCTTGCAGAGGGCCCTAAAAACAGAGAGATGCTTCTTAAAGACAGGATATCCCCGATCAGGAACCTCTACCTTGCCCCCCACCCCCCTCCTTTCCTGCATGGCCTGCTGACTCCTATCCTGTCTGTGAGGTCTGTAATCCTCCTGGGATGGGGCAGGGAGGAGCACTGCAGGCCCAGGCGGCAGGAAGCCAAGGGTTGTCCAAGACGCTCCAGAGATCAGCATCTCATCCTACCGCGTTATGGTCAGACCAGGCTCAAGGTCCGGTCTTCTGGCTGTGCTGGTCAGCCTCCATTGTTAGGACAGAGGAGAAATGTGTGCACACTTCCTCTGTCTATTTTCTGCTTGACCTGGTTTATTGGGTTCTGATTTATGATAGTTGGATTTGTGCCTCTAACAAGCAGTAGGCCTGGCTGGAAGCCTGATTTAAAATAACCCAGAGACACGGCCTATTTGTCACCCATTCATATGACAATGTAAGGTGGGCACCCCTATAGAAACTCTGGCTTCTTACATTTGCCTTTAGTTTCTATTGATTTACATGTACATTACCTGGCAAACAAACACCTTCTAGTCTGGTGAGGAGTTAGAGTTTAACCTTTTTCACAGTTTGTATCGTTCAGTGTTGAATTTTTTGATATTATTCAACCCAGAGAGGTTTTTAGGTTTAGGTTTGTTTAAAGAATCAGTTCAGGAAATAAAAAACAAAACAAACAACAAAACACATTTAATAACTTACCCCAGTTGTATTGCTTTGTCTGTGCATTTATGCTTTGCTAACGGTGAAAACAGTTTGCACAGCTTTAATACTCATGTATAAAAGGCTCCTGTGAGTATTATATTACTATATACAGTTGTGTGCAAAGATATGGGAACCCCCCCCCGGGCAAATTCCACATTTTGTTGAAGGTTGAAGTGGAAAGAAGTAAATACAACCCCTGCAGCAACCAGACATTAAAATGAGCTCCAAATGTCAATGCACGGTTACTTTTTATGTCATGATAGATATACAGCATGTTTAAGATCTACCCACAGATTTTCAATGATGCTCAAGTCAGCGGACTGTTCCAAAAGCTTCAGCGTGTACGTCTTGAAGTAGTTCATGGTGGAATTTGAGCGATTTTGTGGACTGCTTTGAATCATTGACCTGTTGTAAAAGCCGGGCTCTTTTCAGTTTCACTCTTCAGTTTCTCTTGACTGACTGCAGGACATTTGTATGTAGAATATGATGATATGTAGTGGCATCTGTTCTTCTCTTATCTGTGCAATGTTTCCTGTCCCACTAGCTGCCACTCCTCAGCCCCAAAGCAGAACCCCCCCCCCCATGCTTAACAAATACAAAGATTTTCTTTTTTTTTATCAAACTCTGCTCCTTTTTTTCTCAGCACTTGTTTCCAAAATTACTCTGGCTTACCCAGATGACTGAAGGTGAGCTTTCATTCTGACTCTTGCATGTAGAGACCCTGTTTGTGCATCAGTGCTACACAGTGGAACGGTGCACCACCAGCTTCACCTTCCTGCAGCTTCTTTGCATGGGGGGGGGTTTGTTTTGCCTTTCTGCCCCACAGACATGCAGTTTTCTTTCTGAGAGTTTTCTTGGTCTTCCAGATCTTGTCTTGAGTTCCACGGCTCCCTTGAACTGCCATTTCTGAATCACATTTTCGGAGCGTGGAAATGTCAAGCTGGAAATGCTCTGAGATCTTTTTATATCCTCCCCTGCTTTGTAGGCATCAGTTCGCTTTATTTTAGATCCTCGGCCAGTTGCTTATAGAGGAACTCTTGGTTGCTGTGTTTGAAGGTTTGAAGAGTCAGAGAATTTATCGTCTTTGAAACTGTCATCAGCTGACAGCTCTTTATGACAAGCCGCGACCTGCCTCACAAATGTGTCACCTAAGGCCGGACAACTTAATGCTAAAGTTGTGAGTGGTTTGTATAATAGAAGGGTCCCAGACTTTAACATATCTGGGACAAATACTGTTGATCATATATTTTGTTTGTAAAATCTTACTGTAATTTGCAAAGTAGCCATGACAGATATCAGATACCTGTAGTGGAATGAAAAGTGCAGTATTTCCCTAGAGGTATAAAATAGCATGAAATGGCAGTATTCAAGCAATTTACAAGAATCTTGAAATTGTACTGAAGCACAGTAGATTAGGTAGTATATCTACATTTACAATTTCATTATTCTATTATTCTTTTATTCATTATTCATTTACAGTTTCATTATTTCCACTGGGCATAGTGGGAATAATAGGGACATTGAGTGTATGATTTAGTTCAAAGTAAAGCAGATTTATGCAGTTTGAAGTGATTAAAACAGACTGGAGTATCAAACTGTGGTGTCTCCATGATTACGGACATAATTAGTGGTATGAGTTTGTTTTCTTGTGGAGCTTTAATTTCTTTTTTTTTCTCAGGGATGTTTTCAGACAAGAAAGGGTTAAACGATCATTCATGCTTGTGATTTTGTTCTTTTCCCGGAGCTCTTCTCGTAGTTCGTCATGTCTTGGGAATGGAGAACGAGGAGTGTTTATACCCTCGGGATTCCCTGCGGCAAACCTTTCTCCCAGTGTAGACACAGTGAATGTTCACACTCTGTTATTACAGAAGAATGAAAACATTTGTGTAATCATTTCTGAACATTGTCGTCTCAGACAAACATCCAGCTATCCAGCCTATAGAGGACCAAAGGGCATAAATCTCCTTTCCCTCGTTGCAACTTTGGTTCATGCCATGAAATCTTCGTAACATGATCACATTAGCTTCATAAAACATGAAAACCCATGAAAATAATCTATCCAGATTATCTTTCACAGTGGGCTTTGACTTTGATGCTGACAGGTGGAGGATAATGTGACAAGTCATCTTGTAAAAAATAGCTGCTGCATGGAATTTTAAAATGTACTGTATGCTGTTTCACCGATAAAACATGTCGTTGTGCAGACTCTTGAGTGCATGGATTGTTGGACAGGGCTTTAACTCACTGTTGAACCTCTTTCACAATATTAAATGTTTTATTTCAGTGTGTTAAAGAAGGCAACCGAGTCTTTTACATACAAAAACTTTCTAGACTCAATTAAAGATCTACTTAACAAAGACTTCGTGTCCATGCCTGTGTTTGTGTCCTGACTCAGATGAGATTAAACAAAGCTGAGACAGTGACGACTGAGACAGAGTGAATGTTGCTGCAGCTGTTGTATTTCTCTCTCTTCATGTGAGGAGGAAATTTTCTGATTTCACCTGTCCGAGGTTAAAGACAGAGATGAAGCGTTACCTTTTATGATGAGTTCAGCTTTGGTCACATCTACCCAAAATGTCCCTTGGTAGAGTTCTGTAATTGTAACTGACTAATAGACTAAGCCCCTCTCCATCACAGGTATTACACAGGCACAGATAGTCAACTCCCACTACAAAATCAGTAACCAAGGATTAGTCCAATCCCTCTGTCTCCCTGCTGTTGCTTATTATATCCTGTAAAAAGCTCATTACAGTTGGAATTGGTTAATCACTGAATTCCAATTTAAAGTTCAACAACCTGTTTTAGTGTTTGTTTGCTGAAAACAATACATTTGATGAAACTAATTAAAAAAAAAACTAATTGGCTATGATACAGGGACTGAAAGACTGTTTTAGCTGCATATGGGAGACAGAAAAAGACTCCTGAAGTTGTGGTAATCAACACTTGGAAGACTTTAACATCTCTGGGATGAAGCCAAATGTCCTGTGCTTGATCCAATTTAGAAACTTTTGTAGTCACTGATTGTTTGTGCGAGCGGATTGTAAGAGGAGAAGAAGCAGACATGCTGGGAGAAGGAAATACAAGTCGAACATGCATTTCCTGCAAGACACATGCTTTGATTTCGGCCCTGCAAAAAACAATGGCTGTTTGACTGACCCCCCCCCTCAGCAATGCACCAACAGGAAGAAGCACATTCACTGGATAGGAGAAAATACATTCCAGTAAGACTTTACACAAGCTATCACAAGTAACAGAGTGACACCAGAGAGAGAATATTTCTTTTCTTTTTTTTAATCAAAAATCATAGACATGAATTCAAAATAATGCGAATTCACAAGATATATTTCTCAGGAACGAATTCATTGTCATTCTGACACTTATTAGACACACACAAACTCATTCCTTTTACACACACACACACACACACACACACACACACACACACACACACACACACACACACACACCCACCACACACACACACACACACACACACACAACACACACACACACAGCAGACTGTCAAAGCAGTCACCTTTTAATTGGGCCCTCCACCAGCCTGAAAACATTTGTCAGCTGCCATCTGTTCTGTCTTCTGGGACTTCCTCCCAACACCAACCCCCCCCCCCCACCCCACCCCACCCACCTCCACCCCCACCCCACCCACCTCCACCCCACCCCATCCCACTCAACACACACACTCTTTTCATCTTCCCTTACAACGCTCTTATCAGACTCTAACACCTCTCATCAGATGGCGCACCCTTCCTTCACACAAACACACACACACACAGACGTTTGACACTGCTGGCTGTGCAGATACTACAGATTGAACTGGAGAGCGGGGTAGTCTGGTAGATATCACACCTCAAGTGCTTGAATGAAAACAAGAACAGCGGGGGCAAATGCATGAGTAACACACTTGAAGACAAAGCTCAATATTTTGCATTAAGTCCACAGGAGAACCAAGAGAAACACATGAGTGTGTTGTCCTTTTAAAATACATTCCACTTTTTATGCTTGGTCCCTTGTATTATAGTTCAGTGTCGCTTCCCTGCTACGGACAGTGAGGCTGGAAATGGAGTGAGGTCAGACCCAACATCCACAAGCCTGAGCGTCATCTGCAGACAAATGCCTACAGTGGTCCAGAGTCAGTGGGGAGCAAAGGTGACACCCTGAAACTGACCACAGACGATCTGTGAGGAAGCACCCAGCACTGTAAAGTTCTGATTTACCTGCATTGCTGTGCATTGTTCACCTCTCCTCTTCCCCAGCATGCCTCTGGGCCCTCAGCTGATGTCACACCTTGGTGGCCAGAGACTGTGCCTCTGTCTTCTGAGAGGACAGGGAGCTGGCAGGGCTCGCATGCAAGGACTTCTTCAGGTTGAGTAGGCACAGGCACTGGGATCTGAAGCGCAGGTCGAAGAAGGCGTAAAGAAAGGGGTTGAGGCAGCTGTTGATGTAGGCCAGGCAGGTGGCGTACGGGTGAGCCAGCAGCAGGAAGCGCAGGAAGGCACAGGTGTCTGGAAACAGGTCCAGGTATGAGAGGGCGTCAGCACTCTTCACCACGTGGAAGGGCATCCAGCAGGCGGCGAACACCACTACCAGCGTGGTGATGATCTTCAGCAGCCTCCTCTTACGCTGGTCCTCTTTGCGCAGAGTGTTGAAGTGGCGGGTGACAGTGCAGCCGATGAAGCCGTAGCACACCATCATTGCCAAGAATGGCAGAAGAAAGCCCAGAGCTGAAGAGGACATGCTGAGGCCAGCGATCCACAGGTTCTCTTGCTGCTTGCTTCTCACCACCAGGCTGAAGTCCATGGCGCAGGATGTGCGGTTGCTGGTCAGATCGTACTTGGTGGTGCGGAAGACCAGAGTCGGGGCAGCCAGGAGACCGGACAGCAGCCAGATGGCTGTCAGGGAGCCTCGCATGTGGCCACGAGTGCGCAGCTGGGTGCTGGACAATGAGTGGACGATGGCCAGGTAGCGGTCGAAGCTCATGCAGGTGAGGCAGAAGACGCTGGCGTACATGTTGAGCAGGACCACGTAGCTGCTGATCTTACACAGAGCCACTCCAAAGGGCCAGTGGTAGCCCATGGCTGTGTAAACAGCCCACAGAGGCAGAGTGACCACAAAGGTGAGGTCAGCCAGGGCCAGGTTGCCAATGTAGACGTCAGCTGCTCGCCGCTTACCCTGGGCTCTCCACACGGTGAAGATGACCACCCCATTTCCAGAGAGACCAAGGATGAAGATGAGCATGTACAGCACGGGGATGACAGAGTATGACGGCGTCCACTCAGAATAGTCACACATGGTGGAGTTCTCCGTCTCCTCGTAGTCATAATACTCATAAGTACCTTCAGTTGGCTCCATTTCCGTTCTCTCTCTCTTTCTCTCTGTTCTTTTTGATAAGGATTGTTGCAGATAGATCCACCGTGGTTGACAACACTCTGAGGTCTGTTGCTGCATGTGAAATCTGCCGATCCTTATATACCCACCCCCCAGACTTGTACCCTCCTCCCCTCTCACTGCCCTCCTCCTCTCGGCTCTGAGGAACATGCCCTGTCACTGACTACACGCCCACCCCTCCTTCTTCTTCATTCATATTATTTGTACCTCAGTATCTACTGCATTGTGGAGTCCCTTTCATACATGTAATATGGGTTGAAATGCTAGAACTTTATTTTCAGGATAAGTCTTCTTTTTCCTCACTTTTCCTGCATAAAATATTACACTTACAAGAATTCATACATCTCTAGAGGCTAAACGAAACTCATGAATCTTTGTTTATCTTTTTTTTCTAACTTACCACAAATATAATTGTAATGAATTTCTTACTTCAGGGAATGAAAGTTCATTAGACATGTTTGAACAGTAGACCATGAGTCAAGTCTGGGCATGACAAGTTTCAGTAGTAGTCAATTTCATTGTCAATTGAGAATCGTTACGGGACTGGAGCACTCTGCTGCAACACTATTTACATTTGAATGTGTGTTGTTTTCATGTCTGTACATGCTCCAACATGAAGAACCACAGATTAAAGACAAAAGTTTGTGTTTAGCTCTGGAGGTTAGACAAACAAAAATTTAACTTCAGACCTTTAAATGAAAATCTGCAAAATCAGTTAAAATACAGAACTGTATTTCCATGCAATTTCAACTATTTCAGTATTTATTTATTTATTATAACTACTTGAGTTAAAACTTGCAAGATTTTATATTAAAAAATATAGGTGATCATGTAAATACAATTATAATAATCATCAGTATAAATTTAGATATTACTTTTCAAAACTGTTTAAACATTTCTAACAAACAAAATTGCAACAACAACAAATACAGCAAATTTAATATAAAAAATGATGTTGATTAAGGGATAGATAGATAGTATTATCTGTATTTGTGTTTGTGCATGTTATTTTTGTTATTTTTATTATAAACTGTTTTGCGTGGTGTAAAAGAATAAAGCATTGACCTGTCTGACCTCACTAACTCACAGGTCCAAGAGTCAATACAAACGCACACGTACCAAAGGCAAAACACAAAAACACAAAAATTTGTCTCAAATTGTTGTGGAGGTGCCAAAGTTTCTAAAGATACCAAATACATCAGGATGAATGCTTTGGAGCAAACGGCTCATTTCTAAATGATTAAATGATGGAAACATAAAATAACATTGAGTCTTGAGCTTGAATATGTAATTATAAACATCCTAATGAGCTGATACAGAAAATATAAATGCTGCTGACAGCCAGTGTGGCATACGATGACTTTTCCAACTTTCAAGCTACTTAAGGAGAAACAAAAGGGGGGGAAGTCTGTGTGAAATGGTTTAATAAGTCACACAGCTCTTCTGTCTTTCTCTTCTTTCCCGTCTCTCGGGTGTATTTGTTGGCCCAGGTGGGACGGCTCACTCTCCAGCCAGCTCCATCTCTCAGCAGAGTGGCAGCAGTGGCGCCGGGGCACCGACCTTTAGACACAACTTCTGTATCACTCAACAATCTTTTCCTCCTCCGATCCCTTCCTCCACCCTCCTCCTCTCCGCCCCCCCACTCATCTCCGTCTTCCTCCGATTATGAAGACGAGGACTGGTTCCCATCTCCTTTTACCAACGTCATTTACTCTCAGAGATCAGTTTGTTGTTGCCAAATACTGTGATGCAAGCTTGTGGTGCTTGATAACCAAAACTGATGTGATTGTGATTGTGTTTGTGCGCCTCCACCCGAAATCTCTGCCTTCTCCTGCTCCGCTTGATTGTCCATCCAGCTCTTTGTCCATCCGGCTAAGCTCTCTGCTGCAGGACGTCGGGCAGAACAGGAAAAAAGCCAAGTGAAGTGAATCAAAGCAAGCTTCCTATCTGCACTCTGCTGGGACTGAGGTCTGTTTTTAGCTGTGTTCGTTGACAGGGATGTGAATATACAGATAAATAAAACAACAGGCCTTGATGAATACATCAGTCCTCCCACTCACTTTTCCCAAAATCCCCTCATCATGAGCGATGTGGCGAGAAACATGAAATTTCCTTTTAAATACAGGAAACCGTGAAAAGAAAAATAGAGTTTTGTGAGATGGGCATTTTTCTTTCATTTCTCAAGAGTTTTCATCATAATGTAACGCAATCTCTCACATTTCTTCCTATTTTAAGCCTTTCAGAGTAACAAGTTCCAATTGGCCTGAGCTTGAACCTCCTTGCAGAGCATCCATCTCTTCACTCAGCATACCAGAGACCCTGTTTCCACAACAGTCAGCCCGTGTTTGTCGTCTTCTTTGCCCACCTGTGTCTCGAATCAATTGTTGTTGTTCTCATGTGTGGCCCTGTGCTGTAAACCACACACCACATAGACACCAAGAGGTTCCTTGTGCTTTGCGCTCTTATCTAACCACACTAAGGCCCTTAATTTGACTGTCATCCATCAGCAATGTGTCAAATAGCAGATAACATATCTGGGGGATGAGTAGTTGCTTCTCCAAATATACACAAAAAGTAGAAGCCCACAAAAACACACATTACAGTGACAGTGTGTCTGCAGGGCTGCAGAGCGCCCCCTTTGATCTTTTATCATGACCTTGTGTGTTTGCGTGTTTATGAGCCTGTTTTTGGTGATACTCGCAGCGCCAAAAGAGCATGAGGTGTGTGTTTTTGTTGTTTAGGTGTGTGTGAGAGTTGGTGGGGGTCTTGACAGTCGTTTTGATGTGTGTGTTAAGCTGTTGCAAGACCACATGCGCGGGCCCCTCTGTGCCTGAGACAGCTGGTTCCTGAAGGCTTTATTTGCGATCGGAACAACTATGAGTCAAAGTTTCTCCAGTTTCTGCTGACAGTTCATGATATCACACGTCTGAATCGAACACCTGATAGCAGCTCGACAGCCACGATGATGAACACGTCCTCGGGCAAACACTCAGCCATCAGCACCAGTTATATTACCAATCGCATCAACAGTCTGATCTGAACTTTTAATTATCTGAATGCTGTCAAAAGTAACACTCGGAGCACAGCTGGAAAGCTTGAACATTTGGTTGTTGTTACCGCCTGCTCCGCTCCATTATCCCGCCTTTACTCTTTTCAGCAGGGACGACAAGGTGATTGACACCAGCTTGTTAGACACAAAGGCCACCAGGATGGGAGACGTTTACGCCCTTTCTCACTGTTCCGGTAAAGACTAATGTGCAAACTCAAGTTTCACAGCTATCTGCGTGCTTGAAAACAGTTTCTATTCTACATTTGGTAGAGATGTGAATGATATCACAACTGCGGTTGACCAGTTATCATGTAAGACTGTGTGAGAAAAAAAATGTTTCTCCTGAAGGTGATGCAAGGAATAGGATAAGAAATTGCTGGAGAGGACCAGACAGGACACTAGCAGACAAGAAAGAGGCAGGAGAGTATAGAATACACACAGTATGACTTATTATTGTGTCTGTGGACAAACTTGAGCTGCCCTCACTTACTCGGAGCATCAGCAGGTTAAATGTGGTATGCTGGGTTGGTGAACTCAAACCGGATTTGTGAAGAAAGATGGGACAGAAGTTGCACTTCTACACTGATCTGATTCTGAGTGATAAAACTGGACCAACGCGACTGATTCACAGTCCACAGCCCAGAAACCGGCACCGAGGAACAAGGTATATCTACTTCTTATAGTTCTGGCTACACAAGTTAGTTTCGGTCTTTTCATTGCATCTGATGACAAAAAGAAAAATATATCATACGGCCAAATGTATCATTAAAACCACAAAATTCACTGGGACAGCACAACCGGTACACCACGATTCAAGTTATGAGTGCTGAAATTGGAAACATAGATTCTATCATCTGCTACTTTTCCTCCTTTATGATTATAGATTCACATGTTATCATTGTGCAGGGTTACGTGTTACTCCACCGCCCCTCTCATCCACTTTTTAAGAAGTCAGGAAGCAGCCATGGTGCAGTCTTCTTGCTGAGTTTGTACCCACATGATAACAGTGCACTTTCTTAATCCCTCTCAGCACATGTATGGGAGATTGCGGACCTCAGACCAGAGTAGCAACAGCTATTCTGAATGAGGAGCTATACCCCACTACAGAGTCAGGGATGTCTAATTTCAGTTTTCTGCTTGTAGGTCAGTTGACCGGGAGACTCTGTTGATACAAATCTTCCGGCCTTCAATATGTTGTTGTCCTCTGAGCCAGGAGTAGCTGGACAGAAATATTTGTCAAATACGAATGTGAGGACAGGAGAGGGAAATCCCAAACAGTTTTCACGAAAAGGTATAAATAGCTCAGACTTGCACTCAAGGTCGTCAGTGAAAATATAAGCATTAGAGAGAGGCGGGGGGCGCCTTCCGTGTCTCTAACACATGGACAGATGAGGAGAGTTTAAATCAGACAGAACAAAAGGGAGAGCTTCATATGTCATCTAAAGAAGCAGCGAGGTAACACTGCAGCTGCAAGTCATGACAACTGTGGTTTGATTACACTGACAAAGAGTTAGTATCAATGTCTGTGTTCACGTGCTGACTGACACAGGATAATGACAAGTAAGGAGGTTTATTTGTTGGGTGAGGGGTGAGGGGTGCAGCTACCGAGGTGAGCGAGGATTACATATAAAACGCTTGACATAAGCTTGAAGAGAGATAAAAGTGACAGATGTACAGTAACCAGCAGCGCCCTTCTTTACAAACATACTGATGTACTGTAAATTACGAGTGTCACCCTCATCTTCTGGTCTTATAGAGCTCGCTGTAATTATTAAATTGGTCAAGTATGTGTGTACATGAGACTCTTGAGAATCTTTTTCAGCACCAGGATTCTGTGTTATATTATGAGCGTGAGGCTTTCCATTCTCTTTTTCTGATGTCTGCCTGTAAGCCAGCACCACCCGAGAAAAAGGGTGTGGATTTTCCTGCAGTCAGTAAATGGTACTATGATCATACAATAAACTAAGAACATGGAAAACAATTAACC